CCATTGTTTTCCATCTATAAAGAACCTGAATTTAGGCCATTACTGAAAAACAAAACCAAAAGCTGTTGGTTTTAGTGCTGTCTTTTGGGGGGAGGAGGGGATGTTTTTGGTTTTGGTTTTAAATACAGGCTCTTTCTACAGTAAAGTCAGAATACATACAGTCCTCAGCTTAAAGGGCTTTGCTGTGATTCCCCACCCCAACCCTGAGGGTACAAAAAAAAATCTCACTTCATCAAATATTAGACTTTGAAGTTGCTCTAGGCTGCAGCCCTGCTACCCAATCCTCTCATGAGGCCAGGAGACAGCTGGGAGTATAACCCACAGGCAACCTGTGATCACAAGGAGACCAATCCTGACGGCGGGCTGCGGTCCACAAGTCAGGTATGTTTGCTTTAGGATATTTTGTGTGGGGACACATATTTGTGTGAATATGGGCATGTGTGTACCCATGATGCATATATGCAGGTCAGAAGACAACCTCATTTGACAGTCCTCACCTACAGTCCTGAGGCAGGGTCTGTCTGTGGCTGTCAGGCTGACCCACAAACTTCTGGGGATTCTCTTGTCTCCACCTCCCACCTCACTGTAGGAGTAACTTAGAGTCTATGCTTGTGCTACCACACCCAGCTTTTACATGGTGTCTTAGCTACTGTTCCATTGCAGTGAAGAGACATCAATGACCACGGCAACTCTTATAAAGAACAGCATCTTATTGGGGCTGTGGGGCTGACTTACAATTTCAGAGGCCTAGTCCACTATCATCACTGGCGGGGAGCATGTTAGCATGCAGACTGACATAGTGCTGGAGGAGATGTTGACACCTACATCTGATCTGCAGGCAGCAGGAAAAGAGAGACACTGGGCCTAGCTTGAGCTTTTGAAATCTCAAAGCCCACCCACTTTGTGACACACTTCCTCCAAAAAGGTAATACCTCCTAACCTCTCTCAAGTAGTACCACTCCCTGATGAGTAAGCCTTCAAATCTATGCGCCTATGGGGGCCATAGACCCCATTAAACCACCACGAAGGGTTCTGGCAATTTGAACTCAGGTCTTTATGCTTGTACACTGAATACTTTACCCGTAAGCCATGTTCCCAGCCAACTTAAGGTATTCTTTTTTTTTTCCCTTTTTAATTTATTCTATATACGTAAGCACACTGTTACTCTCTTCAAACAGAACAAAAGAGGGCATCAGGGATCCCACTACAGATGGTTGTGAGCCACCATGTGGTTGCTGGGAATTGAATTCAGGACCTCTGGAAGAGCAGTCAGTGCTCTTAACCACTGAGCCATCTCTCCAGTCCCAACTTAAGGTATTCTTAAAGATCAGAATATAACCTTGTAAACTGAGGCATCTAAAGCTGTAGATTTAAAGTGTGAATTCTTTCTTTGTTTGTTGCTTTTGTTTATCAAGGCACAGATTCTCTGTGTAGCCTTAGCTGTCCCAGAAATCACTCTGTAGATCAGGCTGACCTCGAACTCATAGAGACCTACTGGCCTCCGTCTTCCAAAGGTGCTGGGATTAAAGGCATGCTCCACCACTGCCTGGGTAGAGTGTGAATTCTAACACTGAACAGCCTTTTGTTTGAATGGCTTTCTGCAGAACCTTGGGAAAATTGACCTGAGTCAATTTCTCTCATCTGTTCAACGCAGGCAGCAGAGCTGAGGACATGGCTCAGTTGGTAAAGTATTTGCCATAAAAGCTGTGTTCAATCCCCAGAATCCACATTAAAACAAAAGATAGAGGCAGGCATGGTAGTACATGCCTGTAGTCGGAGTGCTGAGGACCAGGAAAACCCCTACAGCTTGCTGGCCAGCCAGTGCAGCCTCCTCAGTGAGCTCCAGGGTCATTGAGAAACCCCGCCTCACAGAATAAAGTCATCAAGGGGGATGCCTGGCAGTGATCTCTAGCTTCAACATACATGTGCTCATACTCATGTGTGCCATGCATATATAAACACACACATAAACATGTACACACACACACACACACACACACACTGTGAGTAGCAATATAGCCTCCTGACGGGTTGAGCTGGGGTTATATTCCTGTCCCCTGGACTTACCTCTGTGTCCAGGGAGGACAGATGGGCCCTGTGAGAACTGAGAACACTTGGAACAAGTCTGCAAGATGTGCGGTTAGAGCAGAGTGAAGCGGGCCATTTTCTGGGTTCTTGGAGTGCTAGGCAGACCAGGGTCTACATGAGAATGAAAAGCCAAAATTCTGATTTGCAGCTTTCAGAGACAGACTGCTTCCTGTGCATTGGTCCTACAGGTCCCCAAATTCCGCAACGATGCAATCCTTTAGCTTAAGGATTTGGTTAACTGAATTAACTACATTAGTCAAGCAGCACTACTTTTGGGGGAGAGTGGGGTGTTGCTGGACATCAAACCCAGAGCACCAGCTACACTAAGCACACACACTTTCCCAATGAGTGAGGGACACTTTAGCCTGCTCTGCACTACTTCAGAATGAGTTAACAATAGTTTCCGTGAGCTACAAAACCACATTTAACCAAGTCAGACTGGCCTAAGGGACCAACAAATGCAATTCTCTGCATTTTTCCCATTGGAGTCTTAACTAAGAGGTCCTCCTTTGCTTCTCTTTGCTTTGTTTTTTTGAGGCAGGGTCTCACTCTATAGCCTGGTTAGCCTGTAGCTGGCTACACAGACCAAGAATCTCCTGATCCTCTAGTTCTGAGTGGAAGGGTAGACTACATGTATCTAACAATACCCCTAGCTTGTGTTTTTTTGTGGTGGGGTCTCTCTTTGTGACCTACATTGGCTTCCAACTCATGATCTTCTTGCCTCGGCCTCCCAAGTGCTGGAATTATGGTGAGGAACATGTCTTGCAGAATGAAGATCACAGCTGACTAGGAACTGGATTCTTGTTTAGTGTAGTTTTACACCAAAGATCAGGGTCTCAACAAATCAATGCAGCCAGCAGACCAGTGTTTGCTATTTGACTTTACTCTATAAAAATACACAACTTAAATACATATGACACTCTGTATACAAGACATAAACAACTGGTAGATTTAACACTTTCAGTTATTTCAACAGAAAGCAAATATGTAAGTTACCTTGTTAGAGCATTCACAGTCAAGGGAAAGAATGTGCAGGAAGCCATCAGTGCAGGGAGCCAACCCAAACTGTCTAAGTCTTCAGTGACAGTCCTTTCTCCAGGGGCCCAGCACTGAGCTGTGTGTTAAGACTCAGACCCACAGCCTGGCCATACCACAAGTAAACCCCTTCATCCTCCCCAGGGACAGTTAATGGAGCAATTGCTGTCCAAGGGGCACTAACCATGGCTAAAACTATGCTCAGCCCCAGGATGAGAAGGATGGACAGCTCTCGGCTTGAAAAGCCTGCAGTGGGAATTGCTTAGCTCGATTCTGCAACTAAATTCATCTTTGAAAGTTTTCCAAAAACGCTGGGGACTTAGCTCCATGGGCGGCTGCATGAGAGACTTACCCTTCCAGAACCTATGAGCTGACCCGAAAGGGAGCACTGTCATTGCCAGAGGCAACATGCCAGCTCCTTGCTTCCTAGCTTCAGATGGCAATCCCTCTGTCCTTCTGCCACATGTCCCTGACTCAGTGCTGGTAGGAGCTCCTTGTTCTACCCTGACGAGCTTTCAGCCATTTAGCTACCCAACCTATGGCTCACTGACCACCTAGCTGCCTGACCTATGGCTCACTGACCACCTAGCTGCCTGACCTATGGCTCAATGAACTAAGACAGAATTAGGTATGAAGAAGTATTTATCACTTGAGATTTCAATCAGTGAGAAGATACTAGAATACGTTTCCTGAGGTAAATATAAGCCTTAAAGAATGGTGTACAGTGTGTAGAAGAAGGACAGCAGTCTTATCCTCAACATCTGGACTTGTAAGTTAACAGGCTGGCAAAGCCACAGACACATTTAAATGGAGAAATAAAGTGGCAGTGCTTAAGTAAGATACTGAGAGTGAAGACTAGCAGTTCCTAAGGAGGCACAGGAGGAGAACACAGACACCATGGGAAGGATGCTCTAAAGTGCTTGCGAAGGCTGGAAGACTAACTCTGAAATGCCTCCAGGAACTTCCAACAAGGTGAAGAGGTGACACTGGTTGGTGACTCAGATGAAGAAGGGCACAGCTTTTTTTTTTTTTTTTTTAAATAACAGTTGTTCAAATATTTTCTTTCTTTTTTGGGGGAAACAAGGTTCTTCATAAAAAAATTTTCAGCCACTGAAATGACTGAGCTGCGACTCTTGTTGATGCTCTAAGATCTTCACTGTGCAAATAGTTTTCAAAATGTCAAAGGACAAAGCACACACCTGCACCAAGGATTTAAATGAATGCAGAAAGTCTGTACCGGATCGTGAAGCCAGGGCTCAAAATACTTCTCATTCTGAGGCTTGCCTTGTTGTTTCGTAATGCTCTGCTGATGGACTATAGAAATCAGAAAACTTCTGGGACCCTGAGGCTTCACTTTTTCATTTTATTACTATTAAATAAATACATAAATAAATACTACTCAGCCACCCTAGATGTTAGTAACTAAGATGTTAGAAACAGAGTCTCAAGATCTAAGAATCAAGCCCAGACTACATTTCAGCAAGTCACCTGAGGGATCCGAATAGGGACACTAAAGTATCCTGCTGTAACTGTTCATCTGCCCATGTTGTAGAACGAGGCGAAGACTGGCCCCACGCTCGGGCCGACCACAGCGCCACGCACAGCGCCACGCACAGTCCCTTATCCTCACGACTCCCACTTTCTGTTCCAAGAGCAGCGGATAATCGGATATGTTAGGCATGAGGGAAGCCTCAGGTAGAAATGAGGCCCACAAGAATGTTGAAGTGGAGTTCAATCATCCCAGAATCATTCAAGGGCCAGAAAAGCCATAAAGCCATACACCAGATCTCTTTATCTTTTTTATACAGATCTGAGTTCATTAAAACAACATTTTAAAGCTCAGAGCAGCTGAGCAAAGCCAGGCAAAGTGAGGCTGCTCTAGAGAAAGGGAAAACACAGAAGACTGCAAAGGTTTAGATGGTAAGACAAGAGCTTGTCTTCTTAGGCAAGAGAGATGTTACCTGGCAATCATTATGGGATAGGTATTTAAAAGTCATCCTTCAAGCTCCAGGTAGCACAGGTGGCTGCAGCTCAAAATCAGAGTACCACAGTTCAGAGGGATGACAGGAGTCACGCACCGAGCCTGCTCTCCTCAGGCTGTCATGAGTCCCAGTGCTCCATCAGCCTCGCCTGGTCCTGTGACCAGGCAGGGACAACACCATGAGGAAGGCTTCTCTATGCAGAATGAGTTTTCATACTTGTAGTTTAAAAATACTATTCAGAACTTTGGAGTCTAAGCAGAAACTGTAAGGATTGTGCCCCACACAGGCCCAAGATATCCCACTGTGCCCAGATGGACCCGACTTATTTCAAGTCAGCTGAGACCGGAACAATGGTAGGGAGTCAAGAACAGCAATGGCAGATATGGGACATAACAAGAGTGGGGTGAGAGGAGAAGCAGATTAACACAGTGCAGAACAAAGAGACCGGCCTGTGCCTGCCTCTCTCACCACCTGTGGTGAGGACTGATGACAGGGACAAGTCTTAGGCAGGGCTCCTCCTAGTGCCCAACATGCCTGAGCTCAGGAAAGGCCCAAGCTGGCCTGTATGGTGTGACTGAGTGCACACTCCCGAGTAACCTACAATACACCCTCCAAGAGCTTCTGTTCTGGCTTCTGGCCCCTCATTCCCAGGGACACAGCATCCTTGCTGCTTGCTACTAGCAAGCATTTCTAGGGCAGAGCAAAGACCTGGGATCCAGGATGAGCTTCAGGTTCTCCACTGCCTCCCTCTCTCAGCACTGGCTTGTCTCCCCCTGGTGGCTGGAGAAAGAACAGAGTCAGTGTCTGAGAAAGGAAGGTAGACGGAACAGTGTCAGCTCACAGCACATTCTTCTACAAGGTGCTTGTTTTTCTTTGAAAGTCTTGCCAAGTAATCCAGTCTAGACTGGCCTCAAACTCACAATCCTCCTGCCTCATCCTCCTGAGTGCTGGGACTGCAGGCACAAGCCTCCATGCCTGGCTACTATGGTAAAAGTACTACCCAAGAGGCTGCTCGGCGGGACGCAAGGCTCCCAGGGGCTGAGGCTGCTTGTTCCGGTCATTCTCTTTCCTGTTGCTATTCCCTTCTCTGATGGTGGGCAGATGGATGGATGGTGGGCTGGCGGGAGGAAGCTCAGGTGAGTCACAGCCATGGACTTTCACAGGTGGATGCATAAGTGATGATACAATGACAAACACTCAGTTATCTGGCAATAAGAAATGAAGTGCATAAGAGATGTGGGGCTATCTCTCACACAAAGGCAGTCATCTCACCGAGGAATGGCCACAACACGGTAACAGGCACCCATACTATTAACTTACACACGAGGGAACAAAACAGTGAGCATTTGTGAAGGAAAACTCCATGTTGGTTATTTCACCTCAAGGGAAGTCTGTTTACACTTGAGCTCGCCTGTAGTTTCCTCTGCCTCTACTTGATGTTTTTCAGGAGGGCTGTCCGGGCATTCACAACTGCTTTGAAGGCATCTTCACTGCCAGGAGCTACACACTTGTCTGGGTGAAGCAGCACAGCCAGCTTCCGGTAGGCCTTATTGACTTCCTCTCTGCAAAGAGCAGACAAGTTTTGTCAGTGACCAGGTTGGCCCCAAATCCTGCATTCCAGTCATCTGGACACACTCCACATCTCCCATGGGATTACCTCCTTTTCTCAAAGGTAGGACTAGAAGACTAGAAAGTGACAAACAAATAATAGGTCGCATACAAGTAGAAAAATACAATGTGAGTGAGGAGACAGTCAAAGGAGGATCAACTGCAGCTAGGCATCTCTAGAGTCTTAGGGACACAGAGCAAGCCTTTGCTAACTGAAGGAATAAGAACCTGGGAGCCAGAGGTAATCCCTTGTGAGAAGCTTCTAGAAGAAGAGGAACTTGTGATTAGCATGAGGTGGAGGATTCAGAGCACCAGGGAAGGAAATGGTAGAGAGGCCTGTTTCTCAAAGTTAAGAGACAGGTAGTTGATGACCACAGCAACCCAGGCCTGAGAGCAAAAGTTCAGCTGGAGGCGTCTGTGAGAACAACCAAGGGAAGAGAGCTTACATAACATGAGGCAAAAGCCAGTGGAAGCAGCGGACGTACTCAACACACAACTAGAGAAGATAAGGGAAGAGAAGCTGAGACAACTCCATGGTCCAAAGTAGCAGGACCCAGCTGGAGAAGGCCCAGAGCCGACAAGCTCCTTTCCTGTCCCCACTCTTCATCATCCTCAGGTGCCAGACTCCTGTGGAGTTCTGTCCCCACCACATGGTTTTACTTCTCAGGATTCTTTTTGTCACCAGGGTCCCTGTGATCTTGTCAGCTTGGCATGGTGCTGTGTTAGGTGCCTTCGCCGTTGTTTTTATTGGAAGGATTTCTCATAGCACGTTCACAATTAATATATGCTCTTTGCAGCTTGGAGATGGTAGAAAGTCTGATGTCAATCTGGAGTGTGATCTTAGTCTGGGGTCACAACAGTAACTCCCTGTGTTTTAGGCAAAGAAGCCAGAGCTTTTCCAGCTGCTAGATGAGTCCTGATTTCCTTGTTCTAGCTTTTCATGTTATATTCTACATATGCAACATGCAACCTTTTGTCAGGTGTATGTGTAGTGTATGCCTCTCTCTCTCCCTCCCACCCTCTGTGTGTGTGTGCACTCGCGCACTAGCGCACGCACACCCATTTAGAAGACCAGGGCCTTCCTCTATCACTTTTCATTTAATTTCTCAAAACAGGGTCTGTTAAGCCTCAACATAGCTGCTTTGGCTAGACTGGCTGGTCAATGAGCTCCAGGGATTCACATGTCTCTGCCCTCCCACAACTAGAATTATAGACATATGCTGGCATGCCTGGCTTTTATGTGGGTGCTGAGTGTCTAAAAATTAGGTCCTCATGCTTGTGAAGCAAGCACTTTATCCACTGAGTCACCCTTACATGTGTACTCTTGCCGGGCAGTGGTGGCCCATGCCTTTAATCCCAGCACTTGGGAGGCCCTGTGTCCTTGAGGCAGGTACAGAATCCCTTCCTTCTCCAAGACAGTCTTCTCACTGAGTACCTTTCAAGATTTATAGGCATAGGAAAGTCCCTCAAGAGAAAGTTCTAGAGTAGCCAGTCTGGTGTAGGTGTTTGTCAACAATCTATCAGTGCTACACTACAGACAATAAGGTATCAACAATGTATCAGTGCTAGACCTATAGACAGTAAGGTATCAACAATGTATCAGTGCTAGACCTACAGACAATAAGGTGTCAACAATGTATCAGTGCTAGACCTACAGTCAGTAAGGTGTCAACAATGTATCAGTGCTAGACCTACAGACAGTAAGGTATCAACAATGTATCAGTGCTAGACCTACAGACAATAAGGTGTCAACAATGTATCAGTGCTAGACCTACAGACAGTAAGGTGTCAACAATGTATCAGTGCTAGACCTACAGACAGTAAGGTGTCAACAATGTATCAGTGCTATCTAAAGACAGTAAGGTTTCTTTAAAGTTGAAGAACTGTAATTACATTTGGCTTCAAACAAGAATGAGAATTCTCCAAAATTTACCAATCTAAGAAATTGTCCCAAATCAAATGTGCTTGATGTCATTTGACAGACACAGCTGACAAAGATAAACCTGTGTTTATATGGATTAGGGAAACAAATCACTGGGGCCCTGGAAGTTCTGGTAGATTTTAATTAACTGAAGTCAATAAAGAGCTAAAAATTTTTCTTTTTCTTCAATACACACTACTTAAAATCTATTAGTAACCGGGCAGTGGTGGCGCATGCCTTTAATCCCAGCACCTGGGAGGCAGAGGCAGGTGGATTTCTGAGTTCGAGGCCAGCCTGGTCTACAGAGTGAGTTCCAGGACAGCCAGGACTACACAGAGAAACCCTGTCTCGAAAAACCAAAAAAAAAAAAAAAAAAAAAAATCTATTAGTAAGGAGGTGAAGAGGTTCCCTAATAGTACAGCCAACATGACTTGTAAATGACATGGAAGATTCAGAATTAGACTACAGAGAAACCAAAGAGAAATTAAGACATCGATAAATTTTTGCTGCATACATGAACCCATCTGAGTACTGTCACAAGTGTGAGCACTCTTGGCACATGGGGAGGTCCAGGTGGCCACAACAGCCTTCCCAGTTCTCCCCTCTTTGCTTTGGGTATGAAGATATGTCATGAGGCCAAGGAGAAGAGAGTTGCTGCTGACACACAATTTCAAGGTCAAATGTTTCCACTGTGGCAGTCAACCTGCCGAAGGGTGAAGCATGGGGGGCAGTATGATAAAAGAGACCCTAAGCACTTGAGAGGCAAAAGTCAGGGGACCTCTGTGAGCAAGAGACAGCCTGGTCTACACAGTGAGTTCCAGCCCAGCCAGAGCTTAAAAACAAACTAACTAACTAACTAACTAACTAACTAACTAACTAAAAACAAAAACCAACTCCCCCTAAAAGTCAACAGCATCAAAAATAAACAAAATGAAACCCTCACAACCAGTCATACATGAGTCATGCATTATTAGCAATTATGTTACCATGCTCAGTAATGAGTTGTCTTTGCACAATGAAGACTACTTTGTTTTCCTTTTCTTTCTGTGTTGGAGACTGATCCCAGAGCTGTGTATAATTTCTCTACCACTGAACTAAATACCTCATTTTAATTTTTTTTAATCCCTCTTTTTTAATTTTTCTTTTGAGAAAGAATTTGACTAGCCCAAGCTGGCCTCAAGTTTGTACTCTCCTGCAGACACCTCAGTACTGGGAGTACAGGTGTGGGTCACTATGCCCAGTTCTTCCTAAATAAATCTTTTGAATACAATAAGTAACCACACATACAACAGGTAACCACACACAACCCAATCACGGTGGATGAAGAAGCAGGTTCATGAGAAGACAGCTGGGCAGACAGTGCTCCTGGGTCAGGACACACCGCTGTCTCTTGGGGCCTCAACAATCACCCATTTCACTGAAGTCCAGTTTCCCAGGAAGATGGGAGCAAGTTCAAAGCTCTTTCTTCTTCTAAAATTCTATGATTTAAGAATTATTTTTGGTAAAGTTTTCTTAGGTTGTGTCAGATTCTTGCTCAACACAGTCAAAGGTGAAGCAAGCCATTTCCTCAAGTGTTCACGAAGGAACAGGACACAGCTTGCTCAACAGGCAGGGTGCCTTCTGTTTCATTTCTCTGTGTTAAGTTAGTGGGGCAGAGTCCTTATGAAACTTATTTCTACACATCTTCAAGATCCTAGCCAATCAGAAGAAAGATTGTATAGTGCTTTTGGCAGCAGGGCCTCTTCCAGAACTACACATCCTAAAACTACTTACCTTGAGGCCCCAGGTCTGACTCCCAGCATCTCCCAGCTGTCCTTACTATTTCGGATTCTGCGAATGGTGTCTGCTTGTTCTTTGGTGAAACTAGCACTGCTGTTTGCGGTAGGACGCTTCCCGCCATTTTCACACAAGTCAACTATGGACATGTAAAACGTCTGCAGGAAGAAAACACACCCAGAGATGATGCCCTGAAACGGGAGTTCCCTTCTCACACTTCAGTAACTCTTGAAAGTCACAAGTGAAGGAAATACACTTCAGCTGAACAATACCAGAAGACTGTTTTCTCCCAGAATGGAACTATAGATCCCCCTGCCCACCTGGCACTGAGGGCAGAACCCAGGGCCTGGCACTTGCTAGGCAAGTGCCCTACCACTGAGCTAAACCCCAACCCCCAACTGCATATTTTTAAAACAGAAAAAGTATTAGCTAACTTAAAATGTATTAATTTTAAAAATTAAAATGATTCATAATCCTATTCTCAAAGAAACACATTTGAAGTTGGTAATAGACTAACACTGTCAGAAAAACTCAAATAGTGAAATATAAAACCTTTTTCTACCCTGAGTCTTTCTCCCTGATATAGCCATCATTAGCATCCCCACAGAAACATCTGTTACCAGCAAATTTCATGTACAAATACATAAACATTTACACAAAGGATCTCGGATGAACACAATGTTTAGCAGTTTGCAGTTTCCCTCATAATATATCTTGCCCTGGCCTGGTAGTGCATACCTGTCATCCCAGCTACTTGGGAGGCTAAGGTAGGAAAAGCAGGAGTTCAAGACCAATTTCAGTAACTTAATGAGACCTGGGCTATGGTAGGGTGATTGCTTAACATGAGCAAGGACCTGGGTTCAATCCCTAGCTCCTTCTTGGAATCTTCCTACATTTACGGTCCGTCTTTGCTTTCTCCTGACCTCAGTATTCTATTATGTGGCTATACCATAACTTACCTAACTCCACACTCCTGGAGTAGTCAGCTCTCTAGTCTTTGGGGCATTACAAACAATATTGAATTGTTTTGGTTTTTGGTTTTGTTTTTTAAGACAGAGTCTCACATTGCCTAGGCTGACCCTGAACTAGCTACATAGAGAGTGATACTGAATCCATGGTCCTCCTGTCTCTGCCTCTTCAGTACTAGAATGACAGATGTGCAGCTCTGTAGTGTGTGTGTTCCCGGGTGAACTCAACTTGAGTTAAACTGAACAGATGCACAAGCAGCTACTTTCAGGCAGTGGACAACAGCAAACAAATCACTGAGATGAGCTACTAACTCTCTTCTGGAGGCCATATTTGGATCATATAGACACAGAGTCTCACTGAGAGAGGGAGGCAGAGATCAGAGGCAGAGGCAGAGGCAGAGGCTATAACAGTGACAACAGCAGCAGAGAAGGCACTGGGCAGGAAGGTGCTGGGTGGAGCTGGACCCCATCTAGGTGGGGGTTCCTCGAGGATTTCTAGCTAAAAACTAGGTTACTCATATGAAAACTGAGGCCACCTGAGGCTTACCAGACAGGAACTAAGAATATAACCCATTTTTTCCCTCTAGGGGAAAAACTAGCCCAAGACACTAGAGCTTGCTTGGCCTTCCCAGAACACCTAATCAACATTTGTGAAATCTCTGAGGCACCACAGAAAGGAGTTTCACACATCCTAACTAAACCCAAAGCCAAGAACCAACACAACTGATGAAAGACAGACTTTGGAAGCTGAATTCCACCAAATTAGAAGGTTTAGGGAACATTTTGGGCTTCCTTCAGATCTCTGACATTAAAGCAAAAATGTAAGCTTACACGAGTCCATTGCAATATACCTTCTGCAACCAGAAGCAGCATTCTTCTGACAAGGACAGAGAAATATGCAGGGTCTCTACAATGTTGCCTTCACAGATGTGGTACCCAATCAAAACATCACTATCACACAAAGAAACAAGAAAACATGAACCTGAGCTGGTTCAAATGCTGGACTTAATAGGTTTCAAAACAACTAGCTATTTTTCAGAAATACTGAAAGAAGATAAAGAAAATATATCTTTAAAAACTACTTTATTTGGGTGCTGGAGAGATGGCTTAGCATTAAAAGCACTTATTGCTCAAGAGAACCTGAATTCAGCTCCCAGCACCCACATGGTGGCTCACAACAACCTGAAACTCCAGCTCCAGGTTATCCAACACCCTCTTCTGGACACTGTGGGTACCAGGCAAGCAGACAGGTGAACAAGCAACATAAAATAAAAATAAATCTTTTCTAAAACAGGCTGGGGAGATGGCTTAGTTGGTAGGACCTGCTGCACAAGCATGAGGCCCTCAGTTGAATCCCCTTTTTAAAGACAGTAACGTGTGCTTGTAACCCAGCACTAAGGAATCAGAGACAGTGGTATCCAGAGGCTTGCTGGCCAGTCAGCCTAGGTGAATTCATGAGCCCCAGGCCAGTGACAGACCCTCTCTCAAAAAAAACCAAGGGGAGGCACCTAAGGAATGACCCCAGAATTGTCCTCTGGCATTCACATATGTACACTCACAGGTATACACACACACACACACACACACACACACACACACACACACACATATATCAAAAGCCAAAGAAAAAACAAAGAAAGCAGGCTAAGGAGGTAAGTAGACAGCACCCCTCCATGGCCTCTGCATCAGCTCCTGCCTCCAGGTTCTGGCCCAGCTTGAGTTCCTGTCCTAAGTTAAGTCAAATAAACCCTTTCCCCTCCAAGTTGTTATTTGGTAATGGTGTTTCATCACAGCAATAGAAACTCTAACATAGACACCTTCTAAATGGATCTATAACCAGACCCTGACTTTATTACTTATTGTTTTAAGTAGCTTCCTTTCCTAAAAATTATTCAAAATTAATGGTTTTTAAAAAGTGAATCTGGTGCCACGGAGCCAGGAGCAGGGTCAGCTGCACAGCCGCAGTGCTAAGGTGGGAAAGTGGCAGACAGGTGGATCCTGGTGACTCTCTCGATGCCAGTCTAGACAGCTGGTGAGCTCCAGTTCACCAAGAGACCCCAGCTCCAAAGGTGGAGAGCAAGAGAGACACCTGACTTCTACCTCTACACCAGAGAGTGCACCTATACACATAATGTATACACGTATGCACACACACACAGAACAACAAGAAACGGTCATCTACACAGACTGCCATGTGAGCGCATCCTTCTCCTGCCTTTTGGATTTTTATGTGTGACCAGCTAGATTCTGGAATGATGGTCTCCTAGTCTCTAAACTAAGTGAGCTGGGAGCTGCTCTGTGAGCACAGGGTCAGATAACCTGTGTGTGGCAAGTCAATTTTGTCACAGTAATTATGAATGTAACACCATTATCCAAAGATGGTTTTGAAGAGAGATCTTTACCTCAGTGAAGCACAATAACTTGCTAACCATGTTGACCACCACAAACACCGGGAGTGTTTCTTCAAGACAGAAATTTCAAGGGTTTAGTCAGACATGGTGGCATATACTTTTGAGCCCAGCACTCAGGAGACAGAAGCAGGTAAACCTTTTTGAGTTTGAGGCCAGCCTAGTTTATATAGCAAGTTCTAGGACAGCCAAGGCAACATAGTAAGACCCTGTCTCAAACAAAATAAACATAAAATATTTGTAGGCTCCAATGGCAACTTGAGGCCTTGAGAGGTCTGAAGCATGCTGAAGAATTTCCTCAGGCGTGAAGGTTCATTGTGTCTACTTGATGGGATGTAGAATCACTGGGGAATGTCTGAGGGCTTTGCTACACTGTGCTTGGAAGACTCACTCTAACTGTGATAGCACCATCCATGGGCTGGAGTCCTGGGCTGAACAGAAAGCAAGCAGAGCTCCAGCCAGCGCTCACCTTTCTCTGCTTCAACCTTCTGTCACTGTGACTTCCCTGCCACAGTGGCCTGTTCCCTACGACTGTATCTAAAACAAACCCCTTGCCTTCCTTAAGTTGCTCTGGTCAGGTGCTTTCTGACAGACAGCAGGTGACTAAGATGATGAGCCAGGTCTGCTCTACAACAAGCAGACTCCCTCACTCCCCACACCCCTTCTTTGGCAAAGTCCCATCATTGTTTTGCTTCTCAGAATCTTAACTATGACCTGCCCCGGCTGGCTTTGACACAAATCCTGGAACGGGATTCCTGATTACCTGGAACATCTCGTTGATTCCCTCTCCAGTTTGTGCTGATGTTTCAAAATACAGGAACCCTTTGCTTTCAGCCCAGAGACGTCCTTCACTTTCATCGATGCAGCGGTGTTTGGAACAGTCAATCTGAAATAAAGTCAGGACGGGACAGAGAGAAGATCCACCTTGTCCCACTACGCCCGGCCCAGTGAGGTCTTTATTCTGAGCCTCAGAGCTATATATAAAACTATCAGGCTAAATGGGACCCAACAACAAAGCCCCATGACAGGTTCTCTGTCTAATTTAGACCACACTTCCCACTTCCTCCCATGGGAAAGCCACTGCTGGGTACTTGTGAAAGTTGTGTCATTACCTGTCCTACCCAAGAGGCCATCTTCTGCTGTCTGCCATGAACAACCCCTCCCACCAGGTCAAACTACAAATATTAGGCTTTTCCTGTGTAGTCCCTAGACTGTTTCCTCAAGCTGGAACCCAAGGGAAAAAATGAACAAAAATCCAGTTAGACCAGGTTTTAAAGTTTTTTTGTCTCTGAGACATGTTTTCAAAGGCTACTTTTTTTTTTTTTTTTTTTTAGATGGGTCTCACTATGTAGCCCAGGCTATCCTGGAACTCACTCTGTAGACCAGGCTGGCCTTGAACTCAGAAATCCTGCCTCTGCCTCCCAAATGCTGGGAGCCACCACTATCTGGATAAGGCTACTGATTTCTATGTTAAAAAATAACACGCCCCCATTGTACATGTGTGTGTCTGTGTTTGAAGACTGAAGACAGGGTCTCACTAAACCGCCCATGCTGGCCTGGAACTCTCTACATAGCTCAGGTTGGCCTCAAACTCAGAGGCCTCCTGCTTTTGACTCCTGAGTCCTGGGATTTCAGACAAAACCACATACTCAGCTCTTTCCTTTTCAGGTCCTCAAATCACAACTGTGCAAGCACACCCATAACTGTGCAAGCACACCCATAACTGTGCGAGCACACACATTCTGAGCAGTTACCTTGTTGGCACATACAACAAAGACAATACTGTCCATGTTCCCGTGAGGCCCAAGCTCCTGCTTCATCTCCGCCAGCCATGAATCAAGGGCATCAAATGAGTCCTTCTGCCCAACGTCATAGACCAGTATCACACCTTGTGTGTCCTTGTAAAACTCATTTCGGACCTGCAGATGGAAGAACAGAGGCACGAGGTGTTGGTGCTGTGATCTTTATAAGAATGCACCTCACAGCCGGGCAGTGGTGGCACACACCTTTAATCCCAGCACTTGGGAGGCAGAGGCAGGCGGGATTTCTGAGTTCGAGGCATCTTACAGTCATTAATTAACAAACTTTCATACTTGAAGTACTCATTATCCAGTGTCTCAGTATCATGTATCTCAATATTTACGGGCTTTGAGAGGACTTTATATAAAATCAAAATGAAACAAATAAATCTATCTGTAGGTCAGAAGAATGTTTAGCAGGAAACAAGGGCTAGGCTCCTCAGAGGCAGCTCTCTCCAACTGTAGGTAGACTTAGAACAGTCATGTAAAGACCATCTCAGGAAGGTAGGTGAACAGTCAAAAGGAATTTCAAGCAGAATGACACCATCCTGGGCGACAGCTGCCACCATACAAGCAGCCCCGAGGCAGGGCTTCTCAGACTACTCCAGGGATGAGCATCCATCTTGAGCCCCCAACCTCAGAACCCAGTGCAATCAGGTGGCAAGGAACACAGCTGAGGAGGCAGGCAGCTCTAGGTTCCCACTGACCGGAAGTATGTGACCTTTGTGTGACCTTGGCCTGATCACATGACCTCCATACACTTCCTCATCTTTCAAAGGAGATTGTACAATGGCTGGACTAGGGGAGATCATGAAGGCAACACACTTAGCACGGCACCTGGCGAACGACACACAAAGTCTCCTCTCCGTTCTTCACATTCTGTCTGACTGTCCTGAGATCATTCATCAGAAATGGCGACTTACCTCTGACACATAGCTGCACCTCTCAGAAGAGCTGACAGGAAGTGCAGGGTGAACTCAGGTAGAGGCAGTAAGAAGTTGGGTGGGCGGGAATTCTGGTGGGAACCTTGACAAAGAACATAGCTTTATGTTCTTTTCACGACATCCCCAATGTACTCAGACTCACTGTAGCTAAGCACTCAGAAGTGAAGAAGCAGGGGACGGTGACAATGTCTGCTACAGCAGCATTCAGGAGGCTGAGGAAGGGATTGTGAGTTTATGGCAAGTTTAGATTGCATAGTGAGTTTGAGGCCAGCCTGGCTACATTAAGGGTGTGTGCCACTACCTTGCCAGAGTTTAAATTTGTATTTAGTTCTTTGCGTGTGTGTGTGTGTGTGTGTGTGTGTGTGTGTGTGTGTGTGCGCGCGCATGCGTGCATGCGTGCATGAGAGAGAGAGAGAGAGAGAACACACAAGAGACTATGCACACAAAGGTATGTGTGACCATGGAGGTCAGAGGAGGGTGTTGGATTCTCTGGAGCCAGACTGACAGGAGGTTCTGAGTCGCCTGACATGGGCTGAAACTCACACTTGGCTACAACGGCAGCAAATGCCCTTTAACTGCTGAGCCATCTCCCAGTCCCCATTTGGAGCTCTTGTCTTTAATCTTTCAAGTATAATCTTATATTTTGTATGTGGTTTTTCCTGTCCCATTTCTCACCACCTAACCTTGCAGAACAGAACAGAGGGTGGACTCTTTAGCCTCTGAAGCACCACAGCGGTTACACTGGTCTCTATTCCTTTTCTCTTCTCCTCCCACCTCACCTCACACACCCCACCCCCATCTCTACTGTTTTTGTTTTTGTTTGTTTTGGAGATAAGGTCTCTCCTAGCCCAGGCTGGCCTCAAAGACTCCGTTTAGCAGTTGATGACTTGCACTCCTGATCCGCATGCACCATCACGCTTGCTGCTGTCTGCACTTGGAGCACACTCCTGTCGCTTGCTGCCACAGCTGGCAGCACCTCCAGCTGTGTTCTACAGGAAGGTTTCACTGCAGGTCATGTCTCCAGACAGAGAGAGAGAGAGAGAGAGAGAGAGAGAGCGCACGCGGTGATAGATTAAAGCAAGCTCAACAGCTATTGCAAGGTACTCAAATTCAGGTCTAAGCTCGGCAACTAGCTACCTACATAGTCTTGGGTAAGTTTTTTTTATCACCCCAGCCTTAGTTTCCTTACCTGCAAAATGGAAAGGTCAAAACAGATGCCTCAGTTGACGCCTACAGCCCCATAACTCTAGTCTTCCAAAACAGCTTCCGAGCACTGGCAGGAGACTCAGCACATTCCAAGTTTAGTTAGGAAGCTAAGGGAAGGGCAACGTACAGCTAGCAAAGGCTGAGACAGCGTCTAATGTAATACTACAGAGGTCTCAGAAAGTTCCTACGAGGGCATCTAATGGAGACTGCATGTTCTTCAATGAAAGACAGGCTCCACTGCCCCTGGGGAAACCTGTCAAGGGGATTGGTAATAGCGGAAGCTTCATCAGGGAGTGAGGAAGCTGGGGATCGTGGGGTGGCTGTGGATGTTCCTGACACGTGCTGAGCAAGGATACACTTTGGTGAGTTTGGGGATTAGAAAGTGGCTTTGGTCTTGTCAAAAAGGAAGGTTTGCACCACAGACAGAACTCCAGGACACAAGAAGAGAGCTCAGGACTATGTGACAAGGTCCTCCAGAAGAGGTGACTTTAAGAAGTCTCTATTAATTAATACATCTATTTTCACAAACTCCTGAAAGAAAACCTAAAGCATTTTTAGATTGCATTAACAGGAGTCAAATACAGACCAGGGGAGCAGAGACTTGGCTCAGACATATCTAGAATGATGTATTAGAGCTTAGTGAGCATCAGCTAACCAGGGACACCTGCAAAGATTCAGCCTGTCTCCTCAAAAGCAAGGCCAGAACATCCTGAAGACACATGCAGGGCAGCCACACGGAGATGCTGCTGGCTGACAGCTTCAGCTCCAGACAGGGTTAGCTCACAAAGCTGCTAATCTGTCACTTGGCTCCCTGTTCTCCAGACACTACCACACTCCACCCTGCATAATTCTTAGCACGCCCGAAGCCTCTCAGCTTGAATGTCATGTCCCTCAGTAGAACTTTCTGACCCTGGGAGACGTTGAATCACGGTATGAAATGAGCCAGCATTTGCCATTGGCTTAAGGAACACTTCTCTAACATACTTTCACTCCACAAGGACATGGGACATGCTTCCAGTGGCTACCACTGAACCTGACATACAGCTAGCCACGACTGGCAGATGACCATTGTGTTTAAGAATACACTGACCATTGGCATATTTAACTTTCCAATGAGATATCTTTGTATAATCCAAGATCTGCATTAGTGTTTCTGACATTCAGAACACCTGTCAGACTTAAAATCAACCAGACCTCTGTGCCTGTCTCACTGACCACAGGCTTAGGAAACTGATCACACCTGGCATAAGCTTTACATATCGAAGGGAGTTGTCTGCCCTCTAAAGCCTAGTATTATTCACAAGGTAGAAAAGTATGCAACCATTTAAAGTCCCTCTAGAAAGATGGGAGCAGCCATACATCCCTGTACTCTTTACTAAGAACAGGTAAAAATCCTGGACATTATATATAAAGTATGAAGTATAGAACCTCTGAAGGATAGAGAGACTAAGGCAGATGAGCTAAGGTCCTTGGGACCAGAGGAATGGCGTGCTAGTGAGTTCTGGGGATTCTTTTGCCAAGACCTGGAGGAGAAGTGTCTCTAGGCGTCTAGAGAATGCCATGAGGGACAGACAGAAGCCCTGTGGAAAGCTGAGTCTCACTAATAAAGGACACTGTAAAGAGGAAGCTAGCAAACAAAAAGCTTCAGGCGGTAATGACTCAGCTAAACACCTATGGGGTGCAGGGTGTCTCCTGCCCTAGTCAAGATGGAGGAAACTTTAGAAGTGAAATATGACCGTGGAAATAAAAGGCTTAGTGATTGAGGTCAACAGCTGAATGGAGGAGACAGGAGAAAAATCAGTGAGTGAGGGACCGGCTGGAGGAGGCAGAGGCCTTGTGCTCACAGGTAAGCACTAGGGAATCTGGAATGTTACAGACACAGGGTTACACCTCTAAAGGAGGGAATGCATAACCTGTTATCCATTCAGAAGGCTGGGAGTGGACCTGTTAACAGCGTGGTGACCTCTGTAGTATCTGTGTAGCCAAGACCCCACAGGACCTCCCCCCAGCCCTGAACTGTGAGCTTGTTCTCAGTCTACAGAACTCATCTTTACGGACGGTGTCACATGTACTTCACAAAGGATTTTGATGTAGTCACACCCACTCTTCACTCAGCTCACTCTGTGCTTTACTGTGCACGCAGGATTGAGTTATTTATCACTAGAAAAGTTTTTTATTTAACCAATTGTGTTGTGCTTAAATATGCCTAAAATAAACAATTCAGGGTCAGACTCCCTAAGTTTGAACACTGGCTACTAAGTCACGCTGAACTGAACTCCTGCAGACTTGCTCTCCTGCCTGTGGTGGTCACAGAGACCACTGCCAAGACTCTTGCAGCCAGCCAGGCAGCAGTTACTGCCAAGCTTGATGACCTCTATCCAATTCCCAAAGCTACATGGTGGAAGGAGAGAACCAACTCCTAATAGCTAACCCACACACACACACCATGGCATACATGTGCCCACACATATACACATAAATAAATAATGTAATTTTTAAAAATCAATGTAACAGCAAAAGATCACCCAATCTGAGTGGGGTGTTTGTGTGTGTGTGTGTGTGCGTGCGCGCATGTATGCTTGGGGTGGGGGAGATGTGAGGAAGGACTGGGACACAGGACTATGGATAAATGGACCTATTGGACTAAAAGATCAATCAGAAAAACAATCGTGCTGAGAAATGAAATGAAAAACAGGAAGCATGGCGGCTGCAGCCCCAACAAGGTGGAAGTCTGAGACAGGATGATTGACAATCTGGTATGAGGCTAGCCTGGGCAACACAGCCAGTCCTGCCTCAAAAGAGAGACAGGCTGGAATGTCTAAAAGTGCTAAGGGCCACAGCTTACAAATTCAAGATGCAGTGCAAAGCACAAACAGCAAACACGGCCCCTCCCCCAATCCACTGAACTGAGTGAAAATGAAGACATGATGCCAGTGTTTGCAGATACACGAGGCAGTGCTGAGGAGAGAATCCACAGCACTGGCCACACAGAAGAGTCTACAATTGGTAACTCAGGCTCTATCTCAAGAACCCAGAACAAAGGGCCAAATAACGCCAGGGCAAACAGGAAGAAGGAAATGACAATGATAAGGACAAACGTGAAGCTGCCAAGCCAGCAAACGGGAGTGTGTGCTCATGGCGGGACTGGGCTGCTTCGGCTTCTTCCTGGGAGGCAGCATGGCTGGGAAGTGACAGGAAAGGTCACACCAGACCCTGCTGTGAAATAGTGACCTTGCTGGGCTGCTACACCCATGCAGTACTATTATCACTGACCCCTCGCACTCGGGGCTGAGGTATGAGGTGAAAAGCCAGCGTCCTCTTACGGTGGCAACGGCCAATACACTCAAATGTTTGAAACATTAGGCATGAAAGTTCCCATTCCTATTCCAGGAAAGTGTGAGTGAGTGATCAAGGGATAGCCACTAACCTGAGGCTCAGAGGCAAGCTGCCAATACGAGCTAAACTTTACAGATCATCTGAATACTGGTCATTTGAATTCACTGTCCCCAATGTCAATACTGGACTTAAGTTTTCTTTTTTTCCTTTTGTTGTTGTTATTTATTTTGCTGGGTTTGTTTGTTTGTTTTTTGAGACTGTTTTTGTATATAGCCCAGGCTGTCCTGGAACTTACCTTGTAGATCAGGCTGGCTCCCAGAGATCCACCTTAAAGCTATGCATCACCATTGTTCAGGTTTTTTGTTTTGTTTTTTAACGGAATTTGGTTTAGTTTAGTTTAGTTCAGTTCAGTTCAGTTCAGTTCAGTTCAGTTCAGTTCAGTTCAGTT